TTTTTAGAGTGCGGAGGGGTATTTTTTTGCAAGACGAAGAAGTAAAACCATGTAATTTTTGTTAGGGTAAAAAATTAAATTCCTGGCAAGCCACACAGTTCCGGGAATTGGACTTTAAGGAAGAAGTAGAATAATTCATGAGGTGATCTGGTCCATGGCTAATGTACATCACATTAGCTGGGACAGTTAGGACTAAACTTTGGTTCATTTTTTAGGACTAAGCCTCCCTTTGTCTCTCCCTGCAGCTGCTTTTTTCCATCCTTTCATCTCTTTTATTTCTCCGTCATAAAAAAATCCTAAATATAGCGTGATAGGTAAGGGAACGTTTCTGTTCTTTGAATAATATATGAAGTGCCTGTACCCACTTAAAAATCAGATTTTGCAAAATGAGTCATTTAATTTTGCATAATACATTGTTCTTCTAAGTGCTTGCTTACTGGCAGAAAGGTTTAGATTTCACATGATAATGGTTATTTATAGGCAATGACATGGCTTTGGAGGAACCCATTTGGAAAGAATAGGTGGTTTGTGTGGAGGATTCTCATCTGTTTGAACTAATTGTAGAAATGAGGTTTTATAGATGTGGACTGATGGCCATTTTACTCTGAGCTACGAAGTTAACAAATGCACCTTGTTCTTTTGCAGAACGGCAATCCCACGTTGTCTCATGGCGGGCCACAAGGACGTATGGACACATGAGAGAGGACACTGGATCAACTGCCTCGTCTTAAAAGCTTTCTTCAGCTGTTTTTCTCCCGTTTCGTGAAATAAAAATGTTACAAGCATTCACAGTATGATTTTATAATATATGCATGCAATAATTCAAAATATATAATTAAAACTTAATAATTCACAGTAGAATAACATACTCAGCCTTTTTTTTTTCCCAGTAATTAAGGTATGTCAGGTTTTCTTCTGCATTCTCTGACAGTTTACTCATATTTGGCCTGCTTACATTAAATCAACAGTGCATTTAAGTTACTGATAGAACTCCACCAGCTTCACTGGAGTCAGGATTTCTGTCCCCTATTCATTTTTCAAAATTACATTTGGTTCTTTCTTACTAATAACAAATCAGTTTTCTGTACTCAGGTAGGAGGATTTTTACCCTAGTCAGTCTAAAATCGAATTTATGAACAATATATCATGTTTTGTATGGAAAAAAAAGCATAATCTTAATTTCACTGCATATACATAGTATATATTTCAATCCTACAAAGTCAAACTATAAATAAAGATTGTTGATAATGTGTTTTACGGTTCCTATCAGCTCTACATACTTTCCATCTGACTAGCTGAAACTAGTTCTTTAAGGTCATATAGCAGTCAGTCTGAGCCAGTATATCCTTAAATAACATAATCAGCATTTTCCCTCGCTAATAATCAAATTATCTTTGATCTCTAATTAATGTTACATAAACACCTTTAAGGAATCTGAAATACATTCTTATGAAGTAAGCATAGATTTTTCTAGGCAGTGACTGATTCCATAAGTGTTCTGCTCTCAGGACACAAATTACTATTTTTAATACAGAAGTTACTAATATTAGCCAGGTGATGATTTCTTGTACAAGTTTATGAGGAAGAATCCCACCTCGGGATGATAGACAAAGCCTTAGAATTACGGCGTAAGTCACATATTTTCAGCCTAAATACATTTGTTACAAAAAGAATACATGTTCTATACCTTATATCCTGCCTATTCTGTCTGCTGTCTTGTCTTGCTGCAAGTTAAGAGCTTGTAGCACAGGAAGGAGGTTTTTATTTATTTTTGTTATAGAGGCATAGCAACACCAAAGTGTTCATTCACAACATTTTGTTTTAATTTGTTTTCCTTGTGAACCATGGAGTTCTTTGAGCACCACGGTGCTGCACTCCTTAAATGCATCATATGACATCATGAGGTGCCCTAGTTCACCTACGTGAACACAGCCTGTGTATTGTGGCTGCTTTATTGTGGCAGATACAGCCTTTAATAGAGACTACCCATCAGAATTTATTCTAATTTAGGGAGCATCAATAAAGTTTCAATGATTCTTTTCACATTTACAGTTAATGTCTTTTACGCATCGTTCTCATTTTCAGGGTGCTGTCCAGCAAGGAAGAAGCGTTACTGATGACTGGATTTATCACAAAGAGGAGCACTCATGTGAAACCGGAGAGATGGAAGATCGCAAAATCAGAGTTAGTTTAGTTTCCTGGTTACTGTGAAAAGAGGATGACATCACACAGGTACACCAGCGAGACATTCTGCTGGGCTAACCGCACGGCATGGAGTGCCGCTGGGGCACAGCCAGCTAACACTGGCAGAACTGAACAGTCTGAACAGAAGAGGATGCTTTTCCCACGTTCTTACACAAAACAGAAAATAAGGATCCTCAAAGGCATAACATGCTTGTACTTCGAAAACACCCTAAGAACACAGGAAATACTTATTTGTTCAGGTACATGATCAAGACAAGCACAAGAGAGTTTTTAGCTTTTCTTACCTGAAGAAGTTACATGGTATAAAAGGCAGGGTTTATTTCTATAGACAGGAAAATGTCTTTTCATTTGTTATGTCCTCAGTAACTGCGTTTTTACACATTGTTTTTGGCATGTGCCGTTTCTCTGGCACATATCCAGATACATCCTTTTTTTCTGCCCAGAGTTACTGTCTGAGTGAACACTATATATTTCCATAGGACTTCCAGACATCTGGCAGCCCAGTTGAAGCGTACTCCTGTCCCTATTTGGTGTGTCCCTTCCCTCTGCCTTGCCCTGGGTCTGCGTCGGGCTTGTTTGAATTTTTGTGGCAATACGACATCCTTGACTCCCGTTTGGTTTGCCATCCCCTGCACGCCCAGATCATTTTCTGCAGAACTTTTAGCCATACCCTCAGTGTGTTAGTCCTTCCTGAGTGGGATAATTTGCACTTGCCTTTACCTGAGTGCACTGTGATTTCCTCAACCCGTTTTTTTCAGTTGGTCAAGATTGAATACTGGTCCTGTCTTTCAATATACTTGCAGTCTTTCCTGGCTCTCTGTCATCTGCAAATTTAATAAGCATGCTCTCAAAAACAGTCAGGTCAGCAATGAAAATTCTATGAATGAGGGAGTCCAAGATCTGGAAGAGACCTGAAGAATGGTATTTAGTATATCCTGTCAACGCTTGCTAACTCCTCTGGGAATGGTTTCCACTCATTTCTGCACCCATATTGCAGTAGCTTTATCTACTCTGTGGCCCAGGTTCATCTTTCCTAACTTTAGAGGCTTAACCTAGAGAGTAGTTGCCTAAGGCTGATTTCATAGTCAATAATTAAGGGAAAGACAGCAGGCCATTCAAGTTATTCTTTGAAGTTGCCTTTCTCTTCACTGAAAAGAAGGAACACAGCGCAGCCTTGCTCCTAATTTAGACACTTCGGTTTGTGTCCGTGAAGTTTATCAGATGAAGTGGGATAGGTGATTTTGTTTATGGTAGTGTCAGGGTGGGCCGTGTAGAAGGGCAGTGTCGGTGAAGACGAGCTGTGTCACATGTACCGTGTTCCCATTAGCTACAGGTTTTGTCACCCTGCTGGAGAGGCATATTAAGTCAGTTTGACTTCCTTGGGCAGACTGCTTGTTTGCTTTTACTTCAATTTCTGGTATTTTGAATATTATATTGAAAACTATTTAGAATATTTTCAATATTTGTAATAACTTCAATTTCAGTAAACTGACATTGGCTAATGGGCACGTACCAATTCTGCGCCAAAACCAGCAAACTGGAGCAGAAAGTTAAAAAGAGCGATCCCAGAGGATTTCAGTTTTTCTTTGTTTCCAGCCCTAAGAATCCCTCTCTGTGCTTAATTTAAGACTGGAGTTTTACTGACAAGTTGTAGCCTCCAGAAACAGGGACTGACTGTGGAAACAGGCTAACAAAAGTCAGTTCTGAACACAGCTGCAGACTGTCAAAAGTTTAATACCGGTTCAAAGACAGCTTTTTGTAACTCCACTGAAGATACTATTGGGAATAACAGCGTGAAAAGGTGATTCTTTTCACACTTTTATTCTTTCTTAAATGCCTTTCTTGGAGCATTTGAAGAAAACTTGCTAGCACGCACACAGCTTAAATGGTCTCAGCCATTGAAGTTCTGGTTTTCTCAGTGATTACGGTTGTCTGGACAAAAATCCTCATACTACAGTAGTGTTAAAGTGACTAAGGGCGTTGGTGTCAGCATAAGCCTGTGGAGAAAGCTTCTCTTTGTGTCATCTTTACATGCATAATAACAGCTGATGCATAGAATATTTTTAATACCAGAGTGGGAGGATATGAGAACCCCAGGTGCAGTTTCAGAGGTGCAGCTTACAAGTTTAACGGTGTTAGTAGAAGCTGAAAATTCACAGCTTTTTGTGTTGGTAATGGAAGTGGGTTTGGACCCCTGTGAACAGATGTAATGAATGCATTGCACGTTGGCCAGCTGAATCATTTCTCAACATGCCATTCAGCATACAGTACCTAGTAGCCTCCGTGATAAGCTGTGGAGCATCAATCACCTGTTCTGTCTTTAGAAAATGTAGTGGTTTATTTTTATTTGACTTTGTAACTTTTTTTAATGTTTTATATGTTGCCCCAATACCTCATTAAAATTGCACATCCTGTCTAGATTTCTTTACATGAAGGTGTGATTTTCAGCACAGTCTTAAGGATTTTTTTAAAGCAATTTTGACTGGTATGTTTAAAAAAATTAAGTAAGCAGTCCCATAATTAGGGACTGAGAGTTAGGTTTGGCTTTGGAAGTTGTTTCTAGGTTCAAAAGATTCCTGGTGTCCCATCTGATTCTTTACTGGCCTATAGGCATATGGTAAATGTGTCTTGTAATATTAAAACTGAGAATATCAAATACTGCTAGAAGTGAAATAATGAGCTAAAGTTCCTGCTTACCAACGAGGCTGAGGCAAGTGTCTTATTAAGCTCACTGTGTTGTATTGTCAAAAACTAAAGGAAAGCAGTCTGTTATCTAAAGCTCAAAAATGAGACCTTTCTTAATAACACTAGAATTTTTCAGACAAAGAACATTTTAATTTATTTCTGGTTATGTTAAAGATGAGCGCACTCCCTTGTTGCAGCAGCTTATTTGTATGAGAATGTAGAATAGTTGCTTTTTTATATACGCTAAAATTATTGGAAAATTTCTAGCAACAAAAAGGACACATTAACAACAGTCTCCCTTTGGTGGATGAAGCAAATCAGAAATGGGAACTGGAGTAACTTGCAGCATTTGCACATCTGATAATTTGAATGACTACCCCCAGGAACCTAGCAGTCTTTCTCTTACGTCTACCTTCCTCTTGCACTTTGGCTTTTTTACTGTTCAATTTTATTTTTACTGAAGTGTCATTTTGTGCAATTATTCCCTCACAAAAAGAGTTAAGTTGAAATAAATATTAACTACGATTAGAATTAACAATTGCATTCAGAGGATCACATTAGTAGTAAAAATGTATACTAATTAGTATTCGAATTAAATTACTCCATTATATTCCAAGTAGTTGTTTTTTCTGCCTTTTCAAAAGATGCTCAAATATAGTACTTCAGTTTCTCCATTAAATTTGAGCTTGCATCAAAAATGAATCAGGTGTTTCATCTTTTTGTGCTTGCTTTTTAGCTAATTGGTGGGACTGCTCTTCTATCAAAACCTATAGCAGTAGAAGGTAATCCCATTCAGATGAATAGAAGTGAGAGGATTAAATATTTGCAGCGGCTCATGTTTTTCCACCATGTAGCATCCTGACATTTCTTCGTGAAGGAAAGAATGTGTCGGGGTTAGCATTAGCATGACTTCTCCCTGAAAGTCTGGAAAAACATCTGTCATTCTGCCAGTCTTCCCATTAACTA